AAATTTTATGCACATACACAACCGAGAAATACAGAATTTACAGTATAATCAACTGTTCTATGGGCGACATGGTTATTCAGTCATAATTTATCTTCTGCTCAATGTGCAGGCTGATAAACGTGTTCTAGTAACTGACGAATGGCTGCGTGTAAAGGGATGTGAAGATGTGTATGCCATTGGTGATTGTGCTTCAATTAGTCAACGTAAAATCATGGTATGCAGAGTGTGTTCAACCTTTTTAAACTTATAGTTGAAGCTATTTTATACGTGTTATTGTTTACTTATACTTAATCACTATCTTGTCATCTTCAGGAAGATATCTTCACCATATTTAAAGCTGCGGACAAAGATAACTCTGGTACCTTAACAGTTGATGAATTTCGAGATGTAGTTGACGACATCATCATAAGGTACCCCCAAGTGGAACTCTATTTAAAGAGCAGGCATCTGCAGGATGTGACAGACCTATGGAAAGATCTCGATGGTAGTGATAAGAAGGAAGTGACCGTGGAAGAATTTAAATTAGCCCTTTCTCAAGTGGATTCACAGATGAAGAGTCTGCCTGCAACTGCTCAGGTATATGTCTTTAATCTTATGGTTGGAGTAAACTTCTTTCTTGGTTGTGACGTATGATTTCAGGTCGACCAAATATAAGAAAGGGACCTCAATTTGTACGCTCTTTTGGCATTCAGGTTGCTGCGCAACAGGGAACATATCTTTCTAGTTGCTTTAACCGGAGAGAGCACTGCAAAGAGCATCCTGAAGGTCCGAGGCGTTTTAAAAGTTCTGGGCAACATGAGTTTCTTCCCTTTCGGTATGTGCTCACTCGTGCCATTTATTACTGCATGTCATATAACCTATTCACGTTATATGATTTTTTGACTTCTACTTGTCTTTCAACCATATACTTCAAAGATTCACCTGGAAAACAACACAAATATTCGCCTTAATGGCATTTAGTGGAAACCAAATTGTGCTATCACTCGTTCACATATAGCTTCACAAAAATTGTCATCCCCAAATGTTTAGTACATGAAATGGCAGCTTCTGTTCATGATTTGAAAATGGCAATGAAAGTTTCAAGAACTTCCATAAATGCCTTCTTATTTTCATGCTAAATTTCTGACGATTCTTCATTTGACACAATGTACAATATCAAGTTCATACTATATATCTCATTTGCTTTCTTTTTATTTTTCTAACCAATGTGTTAACGGTAACCTGTGAATCACTAGGTACAAGCATTTCGGGCAATTTGCTCCGTTGGGGGGAGAGCAAGCAGCAGCGGAGCTACCCGGAGACTGGGTTTCCATGGGTCATAGCACACAGTGGCTCTGGTATTCTGTATATGCAAGGTATTCCACATCTGCTTACTTGTTGTAAGTTGTAATACAATACGCACACAATTGAATCTGATTTAATACGATGTTTTCGTTATTCAGCAAGCAAGTGAGCTGGCGAACTAGGGTTCTTGTGGTATCGGACTGGACCAGGAGATTCATTTTCGGGAGAGATTCAAGTCGTATTTGAAGAGGGCAAAGCGCATTTCTGGCACATTTAAATTGATATTCTTATTAGCTAGGTTCATTGTTGTGCCATGATGAGTGTTTGCATTTGCTTATGTGATTCGTTTACTGTCAAAATGTCGAAACTTACTGCAGTAAATATGTTCTTTTGTACACTCTGCTGAATGTGCGAAATGTCGAACGTACTGTAGTAAATATGTTGTTGTATCAAATCCTTCTGAATGTGCGAATGTCGCCGTTTCTGCAGTAGATTGGTTGTTTTATCAATTCTTCTGAATGTACGATATGTCGAACTTGCTGCAGTAAATATGTTGTTCTATACATTCTATTGAATTAGAATTTTCGGGCAAATAATTGGATTATTTTATGGCACGTACAATATCAACACAATGTCACAGACTCACATGATACATGTTTGATTGGTATAAGAGCATTTCCAAGAGTTAGCAAAAATTTTCTTTAAAAGTTGCTAACTTGGAAAAGTTGATAACTACAAGTAGCAAATGAACTTGTAAATATACAAAGTAAGTTGCTAAGAGTCCGGATCATCGACGGATCATTTTTGTGAGGATCTCGAGGATTTGTGAATTGTGTCTGTTCATCATACCTTGTACAGTTAAAAATCATTTTAAATATTTTTATTTAAAAATAAACATAAACAGTATTTCATAAAAACTGATCGTACGATGTATGATAAACGGGCATAACTCATGGATTTCTAGAATTCTCACCAAAATGATCCAGAGAGGATCCTGTTGGAGTTGCTAATTCTTTAATTTGCTAATCAGGTTGTTACTTTCTTGAAAAAAAACGCAGCATAGCTATAATCTAGCTTTTGCTATCCAAATGTTACCACCTCTGGAGATGCTTTAATGACAAATTTAGCGAAATAGTTGTGGAATGTAAATGACTGACTGACCGAATGAATGCCACGTGAACGCGTGTTGCAATTTGCTCCTTTTTTAGCTTAATCTGTATTGTTTTTTTTTATATATTTTAATTTTATTTGAAACAAAAAACCTAATTTACAGTTAAAGATTTTAAAAAAATTGGTTAGTAGCTGACTTCCTCTATGTGGAGATATTCTTCAACACGAGGCAGTACAACACTTATTATTATTAAGTAGTGAGAAATTTTTTTTTTTTCAAATGTTACTCTAATTATATAATTACATATGATTATTGTCCCGTGTTACATGCATATCGAAAAATCTCCCATGTGGTGAGGTGGTTTTCTTTTACTTTTTTTATTATAAGAAGTTTTAATGAAACACTCATGATACTATTCATTTTTTAACTTTACTTGTGTTCCTAACTCTCCGGTTTGACAAGTCAACCTCGGACCCAGAAAAGCAGTGTGTCCGATTAACCTTTAGACCTCGGACCCTCGCATACCCCGGCCATTAGAATCTGTCGCTCCCCAGTTTTCGTATTTCTCTAAATCAAAGAAAAATATATTCCGCCATTGTAACTTTCTAAACCTTTTCTTCCCATAAAGAATCAGAAACAGAAAAATTTGGGTTTCGCAATGGGGGACATTCTTTCTTTGAGACAGCCTCTAGGCTTTTTCATCAACGTTCCTCTTTGTCCAAGATTCTTGTTGTGACTTTTAGGACCATGTCTGTTCATGAAAATGACGTACGTTCTTTAATTAAAGAAAATAATAGATTGCCAATATCGATATATTTTTTAAAATATTAATGTGCGTTTGTTTTTTTAATAAAGAAAAGACGTTATGTACAAAGAATTTCTGTTATTTTAACATGCATCTTTATACAAGCTTGCATAGTTTCTATTTGGAAGGATTTTGTCGTTTTCTCTTTGCCGATTGTATTTTACGGTACATGGAAGATCTTTGGCATTTTATTTCAAATGAAACGCTGTATACTTTAATTTTTTCTCACTTGCATTGCAAACGTTAGCAGTGGGGGAGGTCTAACATTACTTCATAAATCCATGCCAGTCCATACTGTATATGCCGATTCTTCGATGAGATGAAGGCCAGGGATTCGTCCTTCCTTGTATGTTTATCAATTGCTAATCACGAACCTGAAGAAGATGGGGAAGGTGGACATGGCATTGGGTTTAATGCAGGAGATGAATTCGTGTAGTTTGGAGCTTGTTGGTCCTAACGACATGAACGATTGTAAGTAATTAGAAGTGGGAGATATGTAAAACCATTTGTGAATGACAATGACCTATACCGAGAGTCCTTGAAAGAGTAGTTGACTTGGCAATCAAGTTGATGAAATCTTCCATGATTCTCGGAACCTTAAAGAAGTAAATATATTGGAGTCCTAACATCTTGCAATCAGTTTAGGGTCTTTTCATTAAGAGAATATAAGGTAAATGAGTCATGATAGGACTATGATTGATTATAGAATATTAGGGTGGATATCCTTTCCGTTAATAGGGTGGAATTGATAGAAACCCTAAGTATATAATCAAGAAGCAGTCCCTGCTTCCATACCCCTGAATCTCAGAACACTACAAACCTATTTCGTTAGTTGAGTTCATAAAAGAGGTATTGGAAGTAGAAGGCTGTTTCGATCTTGCACCAGAAGCGGCTATGGCATCAGGTAAGTGTCTCATGTTCGTAGGCATGCATGGCGATAATGCCATGCAGTGTGCGTATGCAGGATTGGTTGCATATTGTTCTTCTGTATATTGTTCCTTTTGTAATCCTAATACATGCTGTTAGGTTATTGGGATATTCCTACATGTGGTATCAGAGCCACACAGTGTGGTTGGGGTTCAATATTAAAGTCTTACAAATATGATCCATGGACAAAAGATTCCTGTTATAATAAACTTCCGCTGCACTGATGATATTTTTTCTTTTATATATGTATATATATTGCTGCTGTTTTAACCTGGCATCAGGTTTAGATGGAAAAGAAAGAAGCAAAGAACATGGATCATAAACTGACTAGAAGAGAATTTGTTCATCAATGTTAAACTGATGAATATATTTACAAGAATCATAATAGCTAATCTGCTCAAAAGTGTTTAGCATGCTTTGGTTGCTTGTTGTCCAATCTAATTGGATCTGACTCATTTGATTAAATTGAAATAATTAATCTGCCTAAAGGTGTTTAATTACTATTGTTGAAATTCAAATGAGTTAGTGTATAATGGAGCATGGAACTGACAAGAATATGTAATCCATCTGCTCAAAAGTGTTGGATATATATATATTGCCCTTGTGTTCTATGTTTGGATTATGCAAAATTAATATAAGCGACTTCAGTCCAAAGATGTTGTTGTGTTTATATGCTCTTGAAGAACTGAGGAAACTTGTACTAAAGTTATTCTCTCCATATCTGTCTTGACATTTTATATCAAATATTAATAAATTGATTGTTTACTGGATGCAGTACCTCACACCACATCGCTCAATTTTACCAGTATTGAAACATTGACTGGTTTGAATTTTAAGAAGTAGAAAGAGGACATTGAAATCGTGCTGGGTTTGATGGATCTGGATTTGGCATTAAGAGAAGATAAGCCTGCAGGACTCACTGATACAAGCACTGCTGAGGATAGAATCAAATTTGAAAAATGGGAGAGAGCGAATAGGATGTCAATGATGATAATGAAGAAGGCCATGGCTCAGTCGGTGAAAGGAGGAATCCCAAAGCATACCAGTGCCAAAGGTTTTCTTGCAGCTATTGAGGAAAAGTTCAAAGAATCTGAGAAGGCTGAGACTGGCACTTTTCTCACTCAACTCACTTCCATAAAGTTCGATGGAGTGGGGAGTGTGCGTGAGCACATTCTCAAAATGACAGATCTTGCTAAAAAAACTAAAGGACCTTGAGGTGGCTGTAACTGATCAGTTTCTGGTGCACATGGCACTGAATTCACTACCTGCAAAATATGGACAGCTCAAGGTGTCTTATAACACTTCAAAAGTCAAGTGGGGCATTGATGAGTTAATCTCAATGTGTGCTCAAGAAGAAGACAGGCTGAAGACTGATAAGACTATGGAAGTGCACTTTGTTCAAACTGAAAAAGGTATAAAGGCTCCAAATGCTGGTTCTGTGAATGCTGCCTACAAGAAGAAAAAGAAGGTCATTTCTTCCCCTCCAATTAAGAATACGAACACTTTTAAAGGATCTCACAAACTTAAACCTGTGAACACTGAAATTGATAAGGAAAATGAGTGTTATTTCTGCAAAGAAACAGGCCATATGAGGAAGAATTGCACTGGTTTCAAAAACTGGCTTGTTAGAAAAGGTAAAACAATTAATGTTTTTGTGTGTGTTGAGTCAAATTTGGTTTTCATTCCTCCTCAAAGCTGGTGGTTTGACACTGGATGCTCCATCCACATAACCAATTCTTTGCAGGGGTTCTAAAAACAAGGGAGATAGACAATGAGGTTTACAATGTCTTTGTAGGAAATGGGAGCAAGCTGGCCGTAGAGTCCATAGGGAGTGTCAAATTGGTTTTAGCGTCTGGTTTTATTTTGAATTTGAGTCCAGTTTTATTTGTACCTTCCATGCGAATGAGTTTGATTTCAGCATCAAAGTTAGTTGAGTCAGGAATTACCTTTGTTGGAGACAATGAAAGTGTAAAGTTTTTCCATTCTAATAATTTGAACACCTTGCTCGGTAGTGCTTTTCTTAAAATCGACATGTGGCAAATGGATTGTAGTTATTACAATGAATGTTTTAATGTGTCAATAAACGGTTCCAATAGCAAGATAACTTCTGAAAAATCATCCATGCTTTGGCATAATAGATTGGGACACATTTCGAAAGAGGGAATGTTAACACTTTCTCAACACAATCTATTGCCACAACTAGATTTTAGTGATTTCAAAGAGTGTATTGACTGTTTTAAAGGAAAACTCACGAACACAAGAAAGTTAGGATTAAACAGAAGTCAAAACTTGCTGGAAATCATTCATACTGACATTTGTGGACCTTTTCCACATAAAACTATCTGTGGAAACAATTATTACATCACTTTTATTGATGATTTTTCAAGGTTCTCATATGTGTTTTTGATTTCTGATAAGTCTTTAGCACTTGATTGTTTTAAAATATTTCATTTGGAGGTTGAAAAACAACTGGAGAAACGAATTAAGATTGTGAGATCCGATTTAGGTGGTGAGTATTTTGGCAGGTATACTGAAACTGGACAGCACAAAGGACCTTTTGCAACTTACCTTGAACAAAATAGCATTGTTGCTCAATATACAACTCCTGGAACTCCACACTAAAATGGAGTGGCAGAAAGAAAGAACAGAACTCTCAAGGACATGGTTCGTTCAATGCTTGCACATTCATAACTGCCAATTTTTCTTTGGGGAGAAGCACTGAAGACTGCTAATTACATCTTGAACCGTGTTCCAAGTAAGTCAGTAAAGTTGGTACCTTTTGAATGTTGGACGGGGAGAAAACCTAGCTTTAATCACTTCCACGTGTGGGGGTGCAAAGCTAAGGCTAGATTCTATAACCCTAACGAGAAAAAGTTGGATCCAAGAACAACAAGTTGCTGGTTTATTGGCTATCTAGATAAGTCTAAAGGATTCAAATTTTATTGTCCCAACTCCAGTACTCGAATCATGGAAACAAATAATGCCAAATTTATCAAAGAGAGTTCCATCAGTAATTCAACTAATGCAGCATCCGAATTTGAAGAAACAACGAGTCTTCCATTACTTGATCTGCAAGCAATCACTGTCCCAGTTACAGAAATACCCCAAAGAATGCTGCCCCAAAGTGACACAGTTAATTTTCAAGAGAGTGAGTCAGTGCATCCTGGTTACACTGACCATGCAAATGATTTTACACCAACTGAGGTCACTGCAGCATCATCTCCTACTGAATTCAATGAAGCAGCAGCTACATCATTCCCCATGCCAACTGAAGTCCAACAGGAAGCACCGATTGTAAGGAGATCTCAACGAAATCGAAAGGCTAACATTTCATCATACTTTGTGTATCTAAATGAAGCTGAGCATAATGTAGGAGATTATGATGATCCTATCTCTTTTAATCAAGCAGTCTCGAGTCCTAGATCAAAGTTATGGTATGTAGCTATGGAAGAAGAACTGCATTCAATGCACAAGAATAATGTATGGACCCTAGTTCCACATGATCAGCAAGTTACAAAAGTAGTGGGCTGCAAATGGGTCTACAAGACAAAAAGAGACTCCCAGGGACAAATTGACAAACATAAAGCGAGATTGGTGGCTAAAGGGTTTACACAGAGAGAAGGATTTGATTACAATGAAACCTTCTCTCCCGTGTCTACCAAGGATTCCAGGAGAGTTATCCTAGCTCTCACTGCACACTTTGATCTCGAGCTTCATCAGATGGATGTCAAGACTGCTTTCCTCAATAGACTTGGAGGAAGACATTTACATGGCACAACCACCAGGATTTGTTGAAAGGGGGAAAAAATCATTGGTCTGCAAATTAAACAAGTCCATTTATGGGCTAACAGGCTTCAAGACAGTGGAACAAGAAGTTTGATCAAGTGATGATGGCAGCAGGTTTTCAAGAGAACAAGATGGATGAGTGTGTGTATCTAAAGGTCAGTGCTTCTAAGTTCATATTCTTGGTTTTTTATGTTGATGATAAATTGTTGGCAAGCTCGGATATATCATTGTTACATGCAACCAAGAAACTGTTGACATAAAATTTTGATATGAAAGATTTAGGAAAAGCTCAGTTTGTGCTTGACATTGAAATAATACGAGATCGTAGCACAAGAGTACTTGGTCTTTTGCAAAAACAGTACATTGATAGAGTCACCAAAAGATGCAACATGGAGAAGTGCTCTAGTGGGGAACTGCCTATTGGGAAATGGGATAAAATGAGTACTGAACAAAGTCCAAAAAATGAGTTGGAAAAAGAAAGCATGAAGGACAAGCCTTATGCATCCTTAGTTGGCAGCTTGATGTATGCTCAGGTGTGTACAAGGTCTGACTTGGCATTTGCAGTAAGCGTACTAGGAAGATTTCAATCAAATCCTGACACTGCTCATTGGATTGCAGCCAAGAAAGTTCTCAAGTATTTGAAGAGGACAAGGGACTACATGCTAACTTATAGCAATGTTGATAATCTGCAATTGGTGGCATACACAGATTCGGATCTGGCTGGATGTGTGGATGACAGAAAATCAACCAATGGTTATATCTTCTTACTTGCAGGTGGAGCTGTCTCGTGGAAAAGCGCAAAGCAAAGCTTTATTGCATCTTCCACGATGGAAGCTGAATTCATTGGATGTTATGCAGCAACTCAACAAGCTATTTGGTTGAGAAATATGGTGAAAGAACTAAGGGTTGTCGACAACATTGAGAAACCACTGAGGATATATTGTGATAACAAGGTGTCAATATTCTTTTCGAAGAACAACAAAAGATCCTTGGCTTGTAGACTGATGGACATAAAATATCTGAAAGTTAGAGATGAGGTGAGAAAAGGGATAGTCGATATACAACACATCAACACTGAGATGATGATAGCTGATCCCATGACAAAGGCTTTATCAGTGGGAGTCTTTAAGCGGCATGTTCACAATATGGGAATTAGAGAGACTTTTGATTCAGTTAATGAGTGGGAGTAAGCACTCAATTGATTGATAAATGTTTTCCTTAAGTTATTTTGAATTGTTATTTGACAATTGCATTGAGAATTAATAATTGAAGTTCTTTGACAGATGATTTTGTACTGATGAAAGAATCAGTTTGTATTGTAAAGAACTGGAATTTAGATGGCCAGTTCTGAACATCATGATCTCATTAGTAACACAGTACTTTTGAGATAAGTGTGTATGTGATCATGGAGGTAAAATACAGTCTTACTTGTATTTATTTCCTTGGTTCTGCACTTAATCTCAAGAGTGACAGGTTACTTACGAAAGGGCATGGCTGCAAACTTTAGTGGACTCTAGTGATCACCATATATATTTATTTCATTGAGAGGTTCTCATTGACATTCAAGTGGGAGAATGTAAAACCATTTGTGAATGACAATGACTTATACCGAGAGTCCTTGAAAGAGTAGTTGACTTGGCAATCAAGTTGATGAAATCTTCCATGATTCTCGGAACCTTAAAGAAGTAAATATATTGGAGTCCTAACATCTTGCAATCAGTTTAGGGTCTTTTCATTAAGAGAATATAAGGTAAATGAGTCATGATAGGACTATGATTGATTAGAGAATATTAGGGTGGATATCCTTTCCGTTAATAGGGTGGAATTGATAGAAACCCTAAGTATATAATTAAGAAGCAGTCATTGCTTCCATACCGCTGAATCTCAGAACACTACAAACCTATTTCGTTAGTTGAGTTCATAAAAGAGGTATTGGAAGTAGAAGGTTGTTTCGATCTTGCACCAGAAGCGGCTATGGCATCAGGTAAGTGTCTCATGTTCGTAGGCATGCATGGCGATAATGCCATGCAGTGTGCGTATGCAGGATTGGTTGCATATTGTTCTTCTGTATATTGTTCCTTTTGTAATCCTAATACATGCTGTTAGGTTCTTGGGATATTCCTACAAGATATAGTTTGGTGTAGTTGTTTGCACCTAAAATATGCACCATTTCACTTATTTGGGCTATTTGGGTAAAATATGGTATTTGGAGGATTAATGTGCAAGAAGGCTAACTTGGAAAGATATTTGGCTGCAAGTGGAGTTATTGGACATTATAATATTGTTTTTCCCATTTGTTTGGGTGGTGGAGGTTTGTCAAGAGCTTTGCTTAAACAACAATTGCATATTTTCCTAATGCAAGTGGATGGGAATACACAAACATTTTGACAGAGGATACATGGTGAAAAAGGCTAACTTGCTTCTTTTAATTAATAGTTTATTGCAAGTGGTGAAAACACGTGGTGGAAATGCAAGTTCCCCTTTTAATATTATTTCACAATGCAAGCTAGCCAAGCGTCTTTTGGGCAAGTTCATTGTTCTCAGCAAGGGCGCTCTTTCAAATCTCTATATAAAGAAACAGAGGCAGAAGGATTATGAACACTCAAACAACCAATCAATCAATTTTACTCAAATTAGCTGATCAGCTTCCTTGTAGACATTTAGCTTTAGCCAAGCATCCATTGCTTTCCTTGTTTATTAGCTCTGCTGCTCACTAGTAGTATGGATCTCCTTTTTATTTTCTATACAACTCATTTCCAGTTTGGCATCCCTCTATACTTAGAATGCTTTGTACTTTGAACAAATACATTTATGTACAACACTAATCATTTACTTTCCTCAGTCATTCACACTTCTAGCAACCCTGCTATTTACATATTGTTCAATCTCTACATATAAGTAAAGTTCTTATCTTTAAGGCAAACAAAGAACCTTGATTTGAGCCACTCCCACTCAATGGCATAATCTCTTGGTTTGAAGCCAAACTCAGCCGCAAACTCAATCATTTAGATCCCGTCTACTAGCAGCATCTTGTAGTGGCACGCCCACACCCACCAATTTCATGTTTGAGTAAATTTCCGGCATGCCAACGAGGCCCATGGCGAATTTAGGGAGCAAACAGTAGTGGTATAGTGCTTTGAATCTGCCGTTCACTTCCCTTGCTCGTTTTCGAAATGCTGTATCAAATATGACTCAAATTTCGACAGTTTTCTTCGAGCAAAATTGTTGTTTTTAGCAGACTATTCGGTTTTCGATTTGAAGGTCTCTCGCTATTGTCAATTGGTATAGTATCTATTAAATCACTTTCTTTGCCTATTTTCGAATGATTTGTATCAAACATGATTCAAATTCGACATTTTTCTTTGAGTGAAACTGTTTTATTAGCAGACTGATAACTCAGATTGTAAAGGCTGAAACAAACTCATCTTGCTAGGAAGCAAGAAAAGTAGCTTCATCCATTATTGCATAGCAGAGAAACCAGACTTACAAACCCGATTAATCAATACAAAATGCATAGTTACTCCATAACAAGAGTTATGGCTAATCGAAAATCAAGCTAAATTTCAGAACAAAAATTAAAAATTTCAGTGGACGTGAAGTTCCTCGGCGATTTCACTTATTCTTCCTCAGCATCCGCTTCTGCAAAATTCAATCCCTGGCAAACCTCCCCATTGGTGCTAAAGTAGGATTTCATCCCAACCAATTCAGCAACCCTTTTGGCTGGCCCCGAACCCCTCGGAGTATCAATACCACATCGGACAGTCTTAATTTTTGGAAGGACATCTCCTATCTCAGCAACAACTGAAGGTGACTTACCATCCTCCGCCACACCTTGGTACACCACTACCTCACTTGGAATCTCCCACCTCTTCTTCACCCGGCACTCCGGTCCTTGACTCCTGGACATTTCACGGCCAATGCCACGCGGCTTCCCTGCCAAGGATACCCGCCTCTTGTCACACCGCTTGCTGTCATCCTTGTCATCCTCGGGCCAAGACCGCTTCCGGCCATCACTCACTGCCGAATTCCCTATCTGATTGTACCTGCTAGGCACAACCCTCCCAGGCTTGAATGGTGTTTTCTTGGCGGGCGCAGACTTCTCGGCTCCGTCTTTAAAAAGCTTCTTGGGTTCAATTGATGCAAGAACCTTGTCTTCCTTCTTCACAGGTCTCTTAGACCCTCCAACAGTAGTCGCTGCCTGTTTAGGAGCTTGAGCCTTGGACACAGTTTTCCGTGATTTCGGGCTCAAACTCAAACTCTTGCCCCGCTCTTTTGTAGCCCTCAATTTATCAATGTCCTGAAGCTTCCAAAAGCAAGATTTCCGGCGACTCTGGGTTTCCTGAACAGGGGTGATCTCGAGCTTACTCGGCCTCCGAAATTCTGCTCCAGCTATAATCTCAGAGGGCCCCAAACTCATTCCTCTCCGATTAACCTTTGGCCTCACACTCATCATCAAAGACTCAATCTTTTTCAACCCGTCCAAATTCTTCACACTCTGTTTCGGCTCCATGAACTTCGCCGCCACAACCCTTCCGCGCTTCTCTACCGCCTTCTCGTTTCTCCCAGCCTTTTCGAGTTTAAGCGCTTCGAGTCTCGAATTCAATCGACTAATCTCCTTCTCAATCGCTTCAATTTCAGCATCGATCTTTCCCTCATCTCGAACTTTCTCTTCTCTTTCTTCAACCTCCCCAATACCCTTCTTCTTCGCGACCACCGAGATGGGCTCAAGATTCGTATTTGTGTCCAGCGGCTTGAAGGGCACCAAAGATTTGACACAGACAGGGGTTTTCAGAATCTCTGGGCTCAGGTTCTCTTTGCTGCAACCCGAATCAAACGACTCGGAAGAACGAATCAGCGAAAGGGGTTGCAGTAGCTCGGACCAGGAAGCTTTTACGACGGAGGAGCCGCTTTCGGAGTCTTCGTTGTCGAAGGCGGCGTTGTTCCAAACCTGAAGGTCTGGTGCGTTAATGGCGTCTGGGTATTCAACAACACTCATTTTCGCTCACTGGGTTCGAACGATTTTAGGAGGATATGGAAGATTAGATGACGGGTTTTTGTACTGTAACTGCTGATTTGCGATTCTTGGATGTGACAGAGAGAGAGAGGAGAGAGAGAGAAAGGATATTGATTTTCTCTGTATTGAGATTTTTGACCGTTGGGAAGAAATTTAGACGTTGGGGCCAGCCTGATACTCCATGTAATCGTAGCCGTTGGATGCTAAACGGCTCCTATAGACGCTCCGATTTGAGTTAAAGTTTGTTTTCTATACGAGATTTAATGTTTTCTCTCGTTTTTTTGGACAGATTCGTTTTTACCTTTTGCATATGTTTGTAGCCAGTTTATTAGTAAATTTGCTATTATTTTATGTTCATTATCCTTACTCTGTTTTTCAACCTGTACTTAGATTCGAGAAATGAGGCAAGATAAGGCCCATTTGTCTACCATTTCTCAGACAAGCCTATTTTTCTGTTCATCTTCAATTGTAATTTGCCAGTCAAATCTTGAAGCGTATGTCAGTTGAGTTATTCTTCTCCAAGCAGTGAACTTCCGTTGCACTTCATCAGATGTGGCCCAACTGAAGGGACTGTCTGTTGGATTGAAGACGAATCCACTTTGGTTCACTTGTACAAAACTCCTTCAATGGTACATTGGGTTATGCTGAATTACTGGAGTTTTATTTGTACACAATATTTATAGAGAAGACAAACAGGTTGTTAATTTGTTAAAGTATCTCAGATTAAGGTTCATCCTTTTTGTTATGTTTGTCGTTTTCGTTAATTTATCGGATGATATTATTAACACATTTCTCTTAACTTACCACGAATGACACTAACATTGTCAGGCTGCCAGATTTACGTGGCTAAAAACACCACAATGGACTCCCAGGAGTTTGTCTTTCACTTCCTGACTGATTGTTGGGGCCGCACCATTGATGCACTCGATTCGCCTGCCAATGTACGAATTGACAGTACCAAATATTTCAACACACAATGATTACTTTTAGATGTGAATCCGAATTTCGAAATTTGTTTAATAAAGAGAATAAATCACACTTATTTAACGTGAATTAAATGCAACGATACGGTTACATTTTGGAAAGACTAACCAATCATCTTTCACCCATTGTCGGATGTGTTTGAATTGGAAAATGCACATTTAATTAGATTATGGAAAATGGAGCATGTACTATACAATGTTATTTCACAAATTTAGCGACATTGTGTAAATAACACTTACTCTCGTTTTCTGTACATACTTACCGGTCAATAGACGTATCCTTCACTACATGAATCACGTGTCTTTTACAATTCTATCCTTAGCCTGGATCAAAACCAATAGGAAGGGAGATCAAGAACAAGAGTTCAATGGTTAATCTTTTTTATTTTCGTTTATGATCGGTACTAAATTTCTCTTTATTATACACAATTTGCTTTGCAATCCTATCCGTGATGGCACAACCTTGGGTTAGGGTTTTTGAGTTTTAAGGGTTTAGGGTTTAGAGTTTTAGGGTTTAAGGTTTTAGGGTTTAGGGTTATTTTAGGATTTAGGGTAGGTTTAGGGTTTTAGGGTTTTTTAAGGGTTTTGGGTTTTGGTGTTTAGGGTTTAGGGGCTTGGGTTTTATGGGTTTAGGGTGCGTTTGTTACTGGATTGTCTCGGACTGGACTAGCTTCAGGGACAAAGTTGGGCTGGCTTAGACTAGACTAAGCTGGACTAGCTTAGTGAAGCGTTTGGTGCAATGTCAGACTAAGAAGCAGACAAGGTATAAAATATCGATGATATCGAAAATATCGGTAGTCCAAAAACACGGAAATTTCGATAGAAATATTGGGATATTATCGATATCGATAAAAATTGAATAAAAACCACGGAAATTGTAATAAAAACTTGGAAAATTTTATTGAAACTTTGCAGGATGTTTATTTAGTCAATTATCTATTAGTTTATCACAAAAAAATTGGAAAAAAATGCATTGCATGATGAATTTAACTGATTTAAGTTGATTATATAGCGAGCTGGCAAACATTGTGAGTGTATAAAATATGTAGTAATTAATGAAAGAAGTTTAAACACACCATAATCATTTATATATAATGAATTAGTACAATATTTTACACTTCATACATTGCATGGTAAGATACATGGGTGACTTAGTACCACATAGAGTTCCTATCAAGGTCTAAAATATCGATGATATCGGAAATATCGGTACTCCAAAAACACAGAAATTTCGATGGAAATATGGGGATAATATCGATATTTTAGACCTTGGAAGCAAGATAATAACAAATTTTAATATTATATTATTTAATCTAATATATATTAATATTTTATTATTTAGTCTCTTTTTCTTTTTCTACATTCTCTTCCTCTCTCCCCAAAATTCATTCCACATGTGCAGATCATTCAAACAATTACAACGCAAATCAAATGCCAATTCCAGATCACATCAAACCCAGTTCGAAATCAAAACCCAATTTAAATCAAAACCAAATGAAAACAAGAATCCCAAGCTACTGCCCTTGATTCAGAACACACCGTTGTCGTCCCAATCCAGCCAACTTCTCCATCGCCGTCGTAGGGTCCAGCGTTCTTGGCCTCCCATATTCCTTCAAGCGCACTAGTGGCTCACCCACCATTGGGTTCACAAGATCTCGTCAATTGTGTGAAGTCGACAAGTCCGAGGTTGAGTTCGAAGCGAATCAGACGAGTCCAAGGTCGAGTTCGAAGTGCAGCGAAGCAGAGTAGACGACTAGAGCTGGACGAACAACAGTAAGAGCAGGATCTTCTTTAGTTCAAAATTTTGGGTTCGGGGTGAGGAGAGAGGGAAAGAGTGGTGGTGGGCTGGTGGTGTGATCTCACTGGAGTTAGCGAGTTGTGGTGTGATGGTGGTTGTCGGTGCTCAAGATAATAGAGAGCAGAGAGAGGATGAGATGTAACATACAAAGATGAAGTAGATGAGGTCTTAGCAATCCCATGGGTATTGGGGGTTTTCGCTAAGAACTCCTAGCGAAGGAGTTTGTCCGTGCGAGTCCCCTTTAGTCTCATTAAATATAATCCCACTGTGGAACAAACACGGGACTAGACTAATAGTTAGTCCAGTCTAGTCTAGTGATACTTAGTGAGGGCAAACAAACGCCCCCTTAGGGTTTGGGTTTTAGGGGTTAGGGTAGTTTTGGGGTTTGTATTTTGGGTTTTGGGGTTTAGGGTTTTAGGGGTTTTGAGGCTGTGGGTTGAACTAATTATGTAAAAATAATCGAGGACGGGTTGAATTGATTCTGGAAAAATGGTTGAGAACTGATTCTGCAAAGATCGTCAAGGACTGAGTCTGCAAAAATGATCGAAGACGGGTTGAACTGATTCTACAAAAATGGTCGAGGACGGTTGAACTGGTTCTAGTAATAAATGATAGTAATTGATTCTACATATTGTTTCAAAACTGATTTTGCAGAAATAGTTGAGGATGGGTTGAGCTCATGACACATATTAATTTTGTTGGTGTTGTGAGAGTTGAGTTCTATTAACAATCCTAGAGCCTTAGAGGTATGACTGGTATTCAAAACATTGTTTCTATTTTTTTGGCCTGGACTTTGGTTGTTTTTATATTTTTGTCTCTTCTTGACATGTTTAAAAACTAGTGAAATTTCTTAAAATGTGGTAAAAGTTTTTGTCTCTATATATAAAGCTCCCTAAAAATAAATAAAAAAAATAAAGAGGCAAAGCTCAGCATAGGAATAAGATTCAACAACGTCTTTTTATTTATTTATTTTTCAACAAAATTGAAAACTTAAAAGAAAAAGTGAAATCTGGAAAGAACACTGATTCTTGCTTGTGCTCTATTTATTCGTGCATTTATTTTTCTTGAACTCGAACTCTCCCTCTTCAGGCTCCCAACTTATTTTGCTGTTCCAGCAATACAAAGCCATTGACCGACAGATGGTGTTGCAGTTGACGTTAGGGTTGATTGCAAAGAAGTGAGCACTCAGCTTGAACTTGTCCATGATTCCATTGCAAGTATCCCCAGCTTCTACCCCATAAAAGTTTTGGCATCTTGCAGTTGCTTTCACACCCCCAAACCCAACTACACCATCAAATATTCATAAAACAGGAATCAAACACAAAATACAACATATAAATATCCCTTATAAGCCCACAAAGAAAACTGTCGTTAGCACTCTTAAAAAGTCAATCTGCATTTTCCCCTTGTTTTGTATATTACACAGGGGAGGGGAGTGTGCAATGCATGATACTTGCTAGAGTCCCAATAGCAGCTCCTTAAAAAAAACAATGATAAGTGATTATCATCTATAATTCGATAATTAAAATTCTAATACCATAAAACTTACTCTGCCTATTTGGCTGCCCTCAGCAAAGGAGATGATGAAAAAAAACAAGTGTGTTTAGTGTGTTGGGTGATGATTTGATGAGAGTGTAAAGCTATATTTATAGGTAGAGATGGTATGCCTATTTAGAAGCCGGCTTGGCTAACGTCCATTTTCTAGTGTGTTTGCTTTGGTTTCCCAAAGTAATTATATTTTTGTTTAGGCAATTTTGTGTTGTGTGTTTTGGGAATATCACGCATTGGGCAGGCTTAGCTGTCTCTGTATTATTTGCTATGTCCTGCTCGCCCATTTGTCTCTCTTTCTTGTTGTTTCCTAACATGAAATACTGCAAAAGATTTCACTCCATGACATGCATCAAGTCAATTATGTCACTCCACTTTGATTAGCTAGTTTGTAACTAAATTAGATTTAAGCTTATTTATGTGATGATTTTAAAAAATACAAGAATTTCACATTGAATAATTGACAAGTTTAAATATGACTTATATTGAATGGTTCAACTTCTAATTACGTCGATGACTTTTATGATAAAATCCTTGTACATGCCATGTTGTGCATGCGGTAAGATATATGATTATGTCACTCCACTTTGATTAGCTAGTTTGTAACTAAATTAGATTTAAGCTTATTTATGTGATGATTTAAAAAAATACAAGAATTTCACATTGAATAATTGATAAGTTTAAATATGACTTATATTGAATGGTTCAACTTCTAATTACGTCGATGACTTTTATGATAAAATCCTTGTACATGCCATGTTGTGCATGCGGTAAGATATATGATGGGAAAGG